TGCCATTCATTCAACCATGCAGGGTGATGTTCGGGAATCCGAAGACAAACACACCTAGTTGTACGGCCTATGTATGTATATGTACTAAGATTAATGTTGAAGAGGCTTTCAAAGTCATTTACCATGCGTCGGTGGTACAGCGATTAGGACGCTCTCCGACCATGCTGATATCACAGGCTGAAAATTCCATAGTTGTACCAAAATACTGTATGGAATCAAGCTATAGTAAATAAAAAATAATTCTAGAGCCAGAAAAAGGAAATTACTGAAAAGGATATTCTTCGCTCAATTTTTTTTGGTTTTTTTTAGATGACTTATTTAACTTTAACACTAACGCTACACCGAAAAATGAACTGACTGTTCATACTGTTGGTGTAGTCGAGTGTGAACATTACTAAAAATATGCTTGTAATAGTTTTAAACGCTGTTTTGTCATGTTTCTCTGTCAAACAAACATGTGACTTCTTTGGATGAGTCTGTAACTTCATAACCGCAAACAATAATCAACCTGTTGAATACTTTATCAAGTTTTTTGATTGTCATAAATATGTAATTCCTTTGAAGAATTCGATTAGTGTTACGTGTAAGACTTAAAAATTACAAAAAAACATTCTATATACAGTGAAAGATATATATATATATATATATATATATATATATATATATTTGTAGAAATTTTTAATAATCAAATGAATAAAATCTGTACAATAAATTTGTACAATGGCAAAAAAAGTATCCATCTTGTGATGAGATCATCTTCTTGTCTGTCTATCAGAATTTTTTACATATTTCAAAAGTCGATGTATCAACTGTTGGATATTATCCCCCCGTTTGGCTGAAAGTAGCATCACTCTATCTTTACTTTCGGGTGTATCACTAATAATGCCAACTTTACATGCTGTTTTATGTAGAATACAATGTAATCTTTCTACAAGATCTCTATCTGAATTGTCGCCTGTTTTATTCGATAATATTAAATCCAATTTACTTCCCAATATAATACATCTATTTTGATCACCAAGATTAGCATCATAAGTGGTTATTTCATAATGAAGCATAGACAACTGATTGATAAGTTCATCTTCGAAATCATTCATTTGATTGACACCATAATTACACCACAGTGTCCCACAATCAATAACATAAGCAAGAATTGAACAGTCAGCAATTAAACTTAGAAACTCTGCTCCCAAGCCTTTGTTATAATCAGCTGCACCGTCAATAATACCTGGGAGATCAGCAACTGAAAATTAAAATCACAAAATAATAAAAACTTTTTTTGCTATTTGGTTATCTACTTATTGTTAAAAGAGTCAAAGAAATGCAACACTGCTTGGCCAGTGTAACCGTCAAACGCATACATCTAATACCGAACACCTTCTGTGAGTTCATGCATTAATAACAATAATAATGTTTAGACGCATATTTGGTAAAATAACTCTGGGGTAAACACCAAACAGTTCTTATGCATTATTATTGTTCTCTTGGGTTCCTAGTGGAACATAGGGCTTCAACTACACGTCTCCACTTGCACCTGTCTTCTGCTGTGCTTTTCACCTGCATCCGTGTTAGTCCACATTGTTCCAACTCCTCTTCACACGATTTCCTCTATGCCACCCTTGGACGTCCCACCTCCCGGTTCCCTTTCGGGTTCCACTCGAGCAATGGTCTGACGCGCGCGCGATGTCACCCAGCGGGTGTCTAATCCATCTCCACTTTCTCCTGCATATTTGTTGGACGATTGGTTCTTGTTTTGTTTGTTCTCATAGTTTCTTTGTTGGTGATTCTTTCCGGCCATCTGATCTTCAGTATATAGCGAAGACAGTTGTTAATAAAGGTCTGAAACAGGCTGTTGGAAATATTCTTTGTGACCCGCCCGCCAAGTTTCTGATCCGTATAGAAGAACTGACTTGACGTTTGTATTGAAAATCCGACCGAATTTTGTTGTTGATGCTGAGTGACGAAGATTTCCAGATTGATTTCAGGTTGATGAATGTGTTTCTCGCCTTCCCGATTCTCGCTCGATTTGACATCCTCGTCCGTTCCGACTTCCTGTAGTTGAGACAATGCTCCCTAGATAAGTGAATGAAGTAACCTCTTTCAAATCCCTCCCGTTGATGGTGATTGACGTTGGATGTTGCTGTTGTTGTTGGTTGGTTATTTTCATAACCTCCGTCTTGTCTATGTTCACCTGGAGTCCTGTCTTCGCCGGCTGCTTCTTCGACCAGTTTGTCGGTTTTCGCTTGTAAGTCTTCGATTTTGTGTGACATCAAACATAAATCATCCACGCGCGAAATCCAGGTCTTCTAGGTTCTTCACGTCGGTCCAGGATATTCCTGTCTTCTCGTTTCCCACTGTCTGACGCATAATCCAGTCCACCACAATTAGGAATATCATTGGTGATAGTAAGCACCCTTGTCTGACTCCTGTGTTTACTCCAAACGCCTCGCTGAGTCTTCCGTTGTGGATCACTTGGCAGGTGCCGTTGTCGTACAGCTGTTGAATAAGGTTGATGAATATTTGGGGTACGCCGTAGTACTCGAGTAATTTCCAAATTACTTCACGGTCAACGCTGTCGAAGGCCTTCTCAAAGTCTATAAAGTTGAGGTAGAGGTTTGATTGCCATTCCATGCTTTGTTCGATGATGATGCGTAGAGTTGCAATTTGGTCAGTACATGATTTGCCTTTCCTGAATCCAGCTTGTTCTGGTCGGAGTTCTGTCTCCAGTGCGTCCTTTAATCTCTCCAGGATGATGCGACTCAGGATTTTACTTGGCGTCGATAGGAGCATGATTCCTCGCCAGTTCTTGCAGAGTCCTAAGTCGCCCTTCTTTGGTAGTTTCACGAGGTAACCTTTCCTCCAGTCAGTAGGCACCTTTCCCTCCTTCCAGACCTTTTGCAATAATGGAGTCAGCATGTCTGCTGTAGTCTCTGGGTCCGCTTTCAGTGCTTCAGGGGGTATTCCATCTGGTCCGGCTGTTTTTCCAGCTTTCAGAAGTTTGATTGCGTTCAAGACTTCAGCTCTCGTTGGAGGATTGGTGTCAACTTGCAGTTGTGTGCGCGCTGTTGTTGGTATTTCTGGACGGGTTGCAGGTGATGGTCGGTTCAAGAGTCCTTTGAAGTGATCCGCCCATTGTTTAATCTGTTTTTCTTCCTTGGTAATGGGCTTCCCTTGGCTGTCTTTTATAGGTTTCGCTTGTGTTGGTCTCTTCCCGGATAGAGATTTGGTTATCTGATATAGTGTCCTCAGGTCCCTTTTGCCTGCTGCTTTTCAGCTTCAGTAGCTAGATTGTCGTAGAATCGTCTTTTGTCCTTCCTAGCACTCTTCTTCACTTCTTTGTCCAGTGCTTTGTAAGTTGAGCTCATCGTCTCCTTCTCCTGTCCGTCCTTGCATTGAATCATTTTCTCTTTCACCATTCTCCTCTCTTCTATTAATTTCCAAGTGTCCGTTGAGAGCCATTCCTTGTCTTGTCTCTTCTTTCTTCCTAGAACCGTTGAACACGTTTCGTTGAGAATCGCCTTCAGAGACTTCCAATGTTCTTCCACGCATGATTCTTCAGTGATGTCGCGTAGTGTTTCCTGCTTTGCTCTGACAGTTGCAGTGAAGGTGTCTTTTGTGGTTGTGTCCTTCAGTAATTGAGTGTTGAACTTGCATTGTGGCCTATCCCCAGCTATCCTCGAGGCTTTTAGTTTCACCTTGAAAGTCCCTTCTACTAGATAGTGGTCTGAACCCACATCTGCTCCTCTCCTTGACCTTGTGTCCAGTAGGCTCCGTCTCCACTTTCTTGAAATTGAGATGAAGTCTATTTGTTCTTGGTGTTTCCATCTGGTGAAATCCATGTCGTCTTGTGTATATCCTTGTGTTTGAACACACTACCACCAATCACCAAATCATTGAAGGCGCAGAAGTCTGAGAAGAGTTCACCATTGTCGTTCATTTCACCGAGGGCCTCACGACCCATGGTGAGTTCTCTTCCTGTGTTGTCTCGTCCCAGCTTCGCATTCATGTCGCCCATCAGGATTTTGATATCGCCATTTGGGACGTTGTCCATTATTGCTTGTAGTTGTCTGTAGAACGCCTCCTTCTTCTCTTGTTCTGAGACGTTTGTAGGCGCATAGCATTGAATGACTGTAACTTTCCTTCCTTTTGAGTTGAACCTGGCTGTCATTATCCTGGAGGAGATTGGTTCCCACTGCATGAGAGCTTTGGTTGCTGTTGGTGACATCATGATGGCCACTCCCTCGGTGTGCTCATGGTTGTCCTCTAGGTGGCCGGAATAGATTACTGTCTCTCCAGTAGGTAGTTGGCACCTTCCAGTTCCGTTCCATCTGCTCTCGCAGATTCCCAACACTTCTATTCTGTACCTTCTCATTTCAGCGGCTATCTGGGCAGCCTTTCCAGTTTCGTACATTGTACGAACATTCCAGGTACCCATCCTTACTTTTGCTTTCATCGAAAGAAGGCACATCGGCTGACTGGCTTCCCGAAGGCTTTCACCAGCCTGCGTCATTTCACTTCCCCGATTCCAGCGAAAAGTAAGGCTATTGCTTATGTTTTTAGAATTTTTAATATATTTATTCGTTGAAGTTTCTGTAGCGATTTGGTTGTTTTACAGGGGTGGAGTTGCTAGCACCACGCCCCAACCCTCCCTCTTTACCCGGGCTTGGGACCGGCGAGAAAACTAGTAAGCTAGTAGCCTAGCAAGCTAGTATCTGGCGAGGTTGATTTGACATTAGTTTTGAAAATCTGTTTCCACACTGATTTCAAATTAATGAACGTTTTTCTTGCCTTTATGATCCTGAAAGCCTTGACATCTTCATCTCTACCCCCTGCTTGTAACTAGATTGTTGCTTCCTAGATGAATGAGGGTTGATATTGCTTTGTGTAAATGACCAAATTAACTTTTCAGGAGAATCAATTTTCAAAGAGTATCCGTCATTTCTTTTTTTTTGTTTGTCATTACATGTGCTCTATAAATTCGGTTGCTACTTTTGTCCCAGCTCATAAAAATATATCCGACTTATCAAGAATACCCACTATGATAAAAGGCAATAATGGTATCGATGGTTTGGTGGACAATTGTCATGGTGCAAATGCTGATCATGTCTACGTAAAGGTAAGACTACTTACTGTGTGATTAGTTTATTGTTTCCTATTTTCACTGTGTTACGTAGGATTAATATTTAGGCAGGTTCCGGACTCTTCAGGAGTATGCATACGGCTGATTTGTGTTCCTGGGTTCTGGTTCGAACGGGACGCCCACTTTGGCCGATGTAATGCCTATTACAGTTCACACAATTTATTTTATAAATGCTATTAATTTTATCTCCTTTTTCTGTTGGATCTTTCGGTGTGCATAATATGAAATTAAGTGACTTGACTGGCTTGTGTGCTATATCTATATCAAACGGTTTCAGTGTTCTAGCTGTTATTTCAGAGATATTTCTCATGTATGGTAGGATGAATTTTCTTGTCGTCTTTGATGATGGTTCCTTGTTGGTGTTTCGATTCGACTTTAAACACTTTTTGATTAAATTTAGTGGATAACCATTCTTTTTGAAGACCGTTTGTAGGTATTTTTCTTGCATTCTTTTCAACTCTGGAGTTCTACAATGTGCTTGAACTCTTCTAAACAATGTCTGCACACAGTTTCTTTTGTGAGTAATTGGATTATTGCTAGTATAGTTGAGTATTTCATCTGTGTGCGTGGATTTTCTACATACTTGTGTTTATAAATTTCCTGTGTTGGTTCTCCTGATAAATAAAAAATAAATCAGGTAACCAGAAAGTTTGAAATCCAAGTCAATAGAAAATGGTCAATACATATGTAAAGATGGTTACCGGGAGAAGCAATTATATCACTCATGAAGAAATTTAAATCATTTCACTTTATGCTAAATATTGGGCTGAAGATGTCCAGAAGGATGACGAAAGCTCCGCAACTAAACCAACCAGCTCAGAGAACACTTTAAATTGCAAATGTTTATAACCATTTGAATTATTAGTCTTTTTATAAATACAATCTGTCCCCGTTACCATGGCCAAGGCTATGAGCGCCATTAATTGTCTGAGAAACAATGATGCCACTTGCCTGCTACAACTTCATTAGGCTGTGAACGAAGTTTTAACTTGTAATCTATTGGTTGAAATTTCAGTAGAGAAAATCCTGGTAGATTTTTGCACTGTGAACTGTAGAGATAGGAGTTCGAGGCAGAGTATTTTTCTACGTTTCGTTGTGTGCATCTTAAGTTTAGACTACTATATAGACACTAAAATCAAGGGCGATATGTGTACTACACTGACTCATCAGCCAGTCAGTAGTCATTTTAAATAGTTTATAATTAAATACATTCCAGTCAAGGGATCACATGCAACGAAATTACTACTCTTATATCAGCGGTTTGTTTCCCCTCTGTATCGTTTGTCGCTATATAAATGAGTTAGTTAGTAGCATGAAGGTGAATACTTCTGTTGACCTAGCACCGGTGATTTATGCTGGATATAGTATCTGTTCACCAGAGTTTTGGTAAGTTTTGATTGTTTATATATATATATATATATATATATATATATATATATATATATATATATATATATATATATATATATATGGAAAATGATGTCTAACAGCCATTTTTCGTTTGTGACTGCAAAAATTTCGGGCTATTATCTGTGACCCGTGCATAGCTGATGCAGCTCATAGTGTGGATAATGTTTGCTTAATTTCCTCATAAAAGTACATCAGTTTTAGTTGCACCATCTTGAAAAAACGACTCAACAGAAAATAGGAAATTGGTAACTCTACAACCTATGACCTCTAGAACAGTAGGGCATGATGCATATGTGTTGGATTGTAGATTTTACCAGCTCCTAGAAAGTCCCAGTCTTGTGGTATTGGTTTCAGAAATTCTGTATACACTCTATGTAGTAATCTACGTTATCCTTTGAAGATAGTTTTGTAGGGATTGATTGATTTGAGAAGAAAAACTAAGGATGCATCTCTCGTATTTTCCACGAGGTGTGAATATTTCACCCATTTCGCTTCTTTTGTTTAATACTGTTGCATAAAAAGATAAGTTCAGTCGTATTTCAGTTATTTTAATGGCTTTTGAACCCCCATAAATCACTTAGTACGATCGAGGGTGGGTAGACTTCCATCTTCCCCACAGAATCCTCTCATGTATCTATACGTTTATAGCCTCTGCGATGAAACTCATTGCTTTCACTCACTGGCAGAAGTGGAACTGTGAGTGCGAACGTCTAACGCTTACAGACGGACTGGTGGACATACAGGGAAGCTGGGAAATCCTGATTCCAAACTTATAATCTACACTGGCTCCAGAACCCAAAGGCATAGAATAGTGTATAGACCTGTTTTGTCCACTGGCAACCACTAGAAAAGAACTCCTGACGGCTGCTCCACCGCCTTGTGGATCAGACTCAAAGCCAGAGACTCGAGGGGGAACGTCGGCCTTGACCCCTAAAACAACTACCTACAGTATCCCAGACCTTTCACAAACTATTAGATTTTGTATGGTACATCTCTTGACCCCTATAATATACCGATTTTGTGTTTTAATAATAATAGTAACAGTAATGGCTTTTAAACTCTTCAATACTCGTACATCACCGGTCTCTGGAAAAGAAAAGGTGAAAATGGTCAGAAAAGCTGAGTTAATATCCGAAATCTGATTTACTGAAAATTGAGGTGTTTATCTGAAAACAAATTTTTATGATAATAACCCTTTATTGCAACACCCTTTCTGATTAGACAAGGTGTCTAATTTACAAACAGTTTATCTTTAGTAGCTTTCTCAAACATAATAAGCATACATGTTAAGTATTCAGTAAACACTTCTAACCTTGGTTAATAAATTTGGCATAAAATTGGTAAATATGTAAGGACTACGGTACTGCCTAGTAGTAATTTAGTAGGTTACTTATTACTATTTACCTATTCACTATAAGTGTGTTGGTGGCACAGCGGTTAGGATACTCGCCGACCATGCACATGGTTCGGGGTCCGATCCTCAACCGACAAACACGTGTGATAACAATGATCGGCCTGCTAAATTCGGTCTACCGATATCACATGCTGAAAATTTCATATCTCTGTACCGAAATACTGTGTGAAATCAAGCTATAATAAAGAATAAAATAATAAGGAATATATATATATATGATTTCGAATTTGAAACATTGTCAGGTGGATTAGAATTGTGTTTGACAAAAGTTTAAAATAAAGGCAGCTAGTCGAAGACTTGGTCCATAACTCATAAAGCTAGTCGCTTTAATACATGAAACAAGTGTATGTGTGTGTGTGTTCAGAGTACGTTTTAGTACTTTAGTCACCGAATCACTCATTTGTGCTTGCAGAGCACAACTCAAAGCATTAGTAAGTGTATACTTATCTCTACCTTACCCCACTACTTCCAACTGGCTAACACTAATCTTACTTATAATTCCTCTTTTTTTAAAAAAAAATATGTATATTTTCAGGTTCCACTAGGTACAAAAGTATTTTCTGTAAATAAAACTCTTGTCAACAGTGAAGATAATGTGCCCAAAGAAAATAAATCCATTGTTCTAGTGAAAACATTACAATCAGAAAATGAAATTTTCTTAGCTGCACGTGGTGGTGCCGGTGGTAAAGGTAATGCTTTTATGACGTGTACAACAACAGCAGTTGATTCAATGAAAGTGCCTAGTAATCGAAATACTCCATTACGCATAGCTGAACGTGGCGGTGTCGGTGAATCAAGTGAATTCATCCTGCGTATGTCTAAACTTGCAGACTTGGGATTTGTTGGTTGTCCTAATGCTGGAAAATCAACATTACTAAAGTGTTTAACAAGAGCTAGACCTAAAATTGCACCTTATCCATTCACAACATTAAAGCCCAATGTTGGTATATTGAATCTTCTATCAGAAAGTCATGAAAAACTCTATTCATCAACTGACCTACCATCATCATCATCATCGAACGGTGGTGATACTTATTCAAGTCTTTCAGACAACATTCATTCTATTGCTAGTAAGTCTGTTTTTGGCATATCTAACATTGAGTGTTTATCAACCTACTTTTATTCTCTGTTGTTTGTTTACTTGTCTACCTGATATACGCCCTACAAGTCGTCATGATGAGTTCCTAGTCGTGTTGAGGTTCTACTAATCGTAAACACCTAGTTTGTCTTCTTTTTATCAGATTTACTCATCAAACAATTCACTCATGCACTTCAATTAAGTAGGAGGAGCAGCTTTTGCAATATAAAATGGTACCATCATTTATTTCGTTGGGTTCTCATCAGCTGCTTACAGGTCAAAGTCATTATTAAGTATATTTACAGAAACAGTCTTAATATACTTGCACAGAGTTTAAACAAAAATCAATCAATATATGCATACAATAATAACATATATAATAATAATAAACACTTTTTCCCGAACAATTATGATCATACACAGTGGAAACTTTTCGACATTACTTAATCAGATGAAAGAGAGAGTGAAAATATCCAGTTACCAGACAGGGCAAAGAAAGACTGATAACCACTTCTTTCTGAACACACAAATCAGGTTTCAGGTGTTTGATGGAGATTGCTTCGGCGAACTTGAGGAGAATTTAACTCTTTTGCCTATTGATAATTTTGAACGTCCACCTCATGACCTGTGTCAAGAAGATGCCTGGCGATGGCACTGTTTAAACATTTGTCCCTTTTAGACGTAGGCCTTTTGCTACATATTCCGAAAATCGTAGGTATGCTCTTCTTTCTGATCTTCCAATGTAACTGATCCCGCAGATACATGTAATGCGGTTGGAGTTAACATGAGAAGGATATCTATCGATTTTTGATTGCACCAAAGAGCGAGTTGTTCGATAGACGGGGACCAGCTTAGCTGCAGGATAGGCTCTGCCTAGTGATGTACTCAACTTTCTGTTGACAATTGCTGTTATATTTTCACCTTTAAAATCAAGTTGAATGTAGGTGGGCTTTTTTTCACTATGATCAGCTTGACATTTTAGCCTTCAGACCTTTCGTAACCGTTGTTTTTCAAAATCTTTTCGAGAAACATAAATTCTTCCTCTAATTTCTCTATAGAGCATAATCTCCTAGCTATATAGTATAGAGTCTTGACTAGTCCTCGTTTAAAGCTATTCGGACAAAAACTATTTAAGTGTAGGTAATATCACTCATGTATATTGTCTACTACTGAAACACTGAGTAAAATTGTGTTTTGCAAGACTGATAACCAGCTCATGTGAGAATAAGGTTTTCCAATAGAACACAAGTGTGAAATTTCATTGACTTGCCGGAGTGTATTTTATACCCGGGTGTCAATCTAGAGGTGTCTATTAACAAACAGATATACATAAACCAGTTTGTGTGTAGAGTTTATTAACAGGTTATTACACAACCGATAGTGTTTAGGCTTTCAGGTGTTAATTTGCGGGTCATTGATTGGTTACAGGATCTCATCATGAGCTGACATCGGTTAGAGAACTATTGGAAAACCTGAGAATACTGGATAGCTGTTTGTCCTAGTTTGGAACTCTCCAGCAGTACGCAGCCATCGTCAAGGTTAGAACCCAGGACCTTCAGGTTACAAGGCTAGGTTAGTGATAATTAGAAAGAATGGGTAAATGAGTAGTTAGTAATTAAGTTCCTAAAAACAACCAAGATACAAAGAAGGAAGTCAGTTCAGTCAGCTAAAATCGCAGTAATAAATAACTGCAGTCAAATGATGACATTGTTAACAGTAGAATCTTGTAGCTTAGCTGGTAGGTGGCTGAACTGGTAATTCCAAGGTTGGTTGGTTGGTTCGACTCCCATTACAACCTAGATTTTCATTTCATCTTCAGGCATGTCATTACATCAGCTATCACCTACCAATCTCAGGCTATCTCAAATAGTCTCACTTGTAATAACAATAGTAGGTATGCGGTAGTAAGAAGGATAATGCAAAAGATTATTTGTAAGGCTCTACACATGCATCATCGAACAAAACATGGAATGGAAATCAAACCTCTTTTCTCAACTTTATAGACTTTGAGAAGGCCTTCGACAGCATAGCGTTGACCGCGAAGTAATTTGGAAACTACTCGAGTGCTACGGCGTACACCAAATATTCATCAACCTTATTCAACAGCTGTACGACAACGACACCTGCCAAGTGATCCACAACGGAAGACTCAGCGAGGCGTTTGGAGTAAACACAGGAGTCAGACAAGGGTGCTTACTATCACCAATGATATTCCTAATTGTGGTGGACTGGATTATGCGTCAGACAGTGGGAAACGAGAAGACAGGGAGGGATATCCTGAACCGACGTGAAAAACCTAGAAGACCTGGATTTCGCGCGTGGATGATTTATCTTTGGTGTCACACAAAATCGAGGACTTACAAGCGAAAACCAACCAACTGGTCGAAGAACCAGCCGGCGAAGACAGGACTCCAAGTGAACATAGACAAGACGGAGGTTATGAAAATAACCAACCAACAACAACAGCAACATCCAGCGTCAATCACCATCAACGGGAGGGATTTGAAAGAGGTTACTTCATTCACTTATCTAGGGAGCATTGTCTCAACTACAGGAAGTCGGAACGGACGAGGATGTCAAATCGAGCGAGAATCGGGAAGGCGACAAACACATTCATCAACCTGAAACCAATCTGGAAATCTTCGTCAATCAGCATCAACAACAAAATTCGGTCGGATTTTCAATACAAACGTCAAGTCAGTTCTTCTATACGGATCAGAAACTTGGCGGGCGGGTCACAAAGAATATTTCTAACAGCCTGTTTCAGACTTTTATTAACAACTGTCTTCGCTATATACTGAAGATCAGATAGCCGGAAAGAATCACCAACGACAAGAAACTATGAGAACAAACAAAACAAGAACCAATCGTCCAACAAATATGCAGGAGAAAGTGGAGATGGATTAGACACCCGCTGGGTGACATCGCGTGCGCGTCAGACCATTGCTCGAGTGGAACCCGAAAGGGAACCGGGAGGTGGGACGTCCAAGGGTGGCATAGAGGAAATCGTGTGAAGAGGAGTTGGAACAATGTGGACTAACACGGATGCAGGTGAAAAGCACAGCAGAAGACAGGTGCAAGTGGAGACGTGTAGTTGAAGCCCTATGTTCCACTAGGAACCCAAGAGAACAATAATAATGCATAAGAACTGTTTGGTGTTTACCCCAGAGTTATTTTACCAAATATGCGTCTAAACATTATTATTGTTATTAATGCATGAACTCACAGAAGGTGTTCGGTATTAGATGTATGCGTTTGACGGTTACACTGGCCAAGCAGTGTTGCATTTCTTTGACTCTTTTAACAATAAGTAGATAACCAAATAGCAAAAAAAGTTTTATTATTTTGTGATTTTAATTTTCAGTTGCTGATCTCCCAGGTATTATTGACGGTGCAGCTGATTATAACAAAGGCTTGGGAGCAGAGTTTCTAAGTTTAATTGCTGACTGTTCAATTCTTGCTTATGTTATTGATTGTGGGACACTGTGGTGTAATTATGGTGTCAATCAAATGAATGATTTCGAAGATGAACTTATCAATCAGTTGTCTATGCTTCATTATGAAATAACCACTTATGATGCTAATCTTGGTGATCAAAATAGATGTATTATATTGGGAAGTAAATTGGATTTAATATTATCGAATAAAACAGGCGACAATTCAGATAGAGATCTTGTAGAAAGATTACATTGTATTCTACATAAAACAGCATGTAAAGTTGGCATTATTAGTGATACACCCGAAAGTAAAGATAGAGTGATGCTACTTTCAGCCAAACGGGGGGATAATATCCAACAGTTGATACATCGACTTTTGAAATATGTAAAAAATTCTGATAGACAGACAAGAAGATGATCTCATCACAAGATGGATACTTTTTTTGCCATTGTACAAATTTATTGTACAGATTTTATTCATTTGATTATTAAAAATTTCTACAAATATATATATATATATATATATACTTTCACTGTATATAGAATGTTTTTTTGTAATTTTTAAGTCTTACACGTAACACTAATCGAATTCTTCAAAGGAATTACATATTTATGACAATCAAAAAACTTGATAAAGTATTCAACAGGTTGATTATTGTTTGCGGTTATGAAGTTACAGACTCATCCAAAGAAGTCACATGTTTGTTTGACAGAGAAACATGACAAAACAGCGTTTAAAACTATTACAAGCATATTTTTAGTAATGTTCACACTCGACTACACCAACAGTATGAACAGTCAGTTCATTTTTCGGTGTAGCGTTAGTGTTAAAGTTAAATAAGTCATCTAAAAAAAACCAAAAAAAATTGAGCGAAGAATATCCTTTTCAGTAATTTCCTTTTTCTGGCTCTAGAATTATTTTTTATTTACTATAGCTTGATTCCATACAGTATTTTGGTACAACTATGGAATTTTCAGCCTGTGATATCAGCATGGTCGGAGAGCGTCCTAATCGCTGTACCACCGACGCATGGTAAATGACTTTGAAAGCCTCTTCAACATTAATCTTAGTACATATACATACATAGGCCGTACAACTAGGTGTGTTTGTCTTCGGATTCCCGAACATCACCCTGCATGGTTGAATGAATGGCAAACAAAATCTATCCATAGTGTCATTCTATCTCATCTCGTAGATACAGAAGACAAAATTGATGCTAAAAAGGCTTTCAAAGTAATTTACTGCATACCAACAAATCTTAACTTCATCTTAAGAATTCGTCTACTACTTATTGCTGAGGCTGTTGGAATCTACATTAAGAAGCCTAATATATGTGTCCAAAAGAAGCTAGTTCAGACATTGTCCTTGCCTTGACCTTCTAGGTTTTAATGATTCTCAGTTTTTTGTAGAAATCTCCTAGATTTTAGTTGATGTTCTATCTACTATTACATTTTTATGCTTTTTATTATTTATGTATCTTTAGTGAACTGTAATTCCATTGATCTTACTTAAAAAATCGGTATTATTTTAAAAACACCAATGTTATATTGACTGCTATTCTAGGATTATATATATATATATATATATCATTGTAGAGCCAGATGAGGAAATTATCGAAAAGGATATTCTTTGCTCAATTTTTTTCCTAGATATCTGAATGAATATTTTTGCTATATTCAAATAATTCAGTTGAAGAACTTTATCAACTTCAACCATTAAAGGTAGATTAGAAGTAACTGAGATTGGCAAGATCAATACAGTATACTTATCCACTGACTGTCATTGAGCATCCGTATGAGCAATGTATGGAAGCGTTCTTAGTAGATTTATGTGTGGTGCCGCCATGTTAATTTGTAGAAAAGAGAGTGTGATTCAGTGGTGGTATTTACTAATGCTGTCCAGCAGTAAGTATGCACAATTTTTCATGAATTCATACAATATTTTTGCAATTAAAATACGTCATCCGGTAGAACAAATACAGAGTTTTTAACGACTAGATGGGGGCGTCAATTATAATATGATATAGAAATTTTAAGAAAAGCGAACAATCTTGTTTGGAAAGTGTTGTTATTAGAAGACGGAGATTATCTGGGAAATGTGATGTATTTGCCCAATGCATTTCGGACAGTCTGATCACACATTTACTTGCCAAGTCAATTCATACGAAAAAAATTAAAGGGCGATTAAAGTACACAAAGTGACAAAAAAGAATTTAAGAGTAATTTAAACTACCTTTGGTTATTTAATCAGATAAGGTTTACCAAGGTAGGTTAAGTGTAATAATAAGTTGTTTTTGAACACACACGGCGGAGGCATAAGTTTATGAATAGCTATAGCCTCAGCGCATTTCAATAAGCGCCCTTGACCATTCTTATAAATGATCTCGAAAGCTGTGTTAACATCAGTCTTATGGTTCATGTCGATTAGATATTTGGCTGTAGATGAAATTTGTAGTCTCTCACTTACGTCTCTTAATTTTCCAAAGTTCATCTTTCTAACCAGTTTGGAATATGGTCTCCCAACCTCACATTTAAAGAGCGATCACTCTTCCCTATGTATGTGTGTCCACACACACGTAAATTGGTGAATAGTGTGGGATGTGACATAATCAACTGTGCACTTTGGAAGCTTACGGTGGAGCATTTTTTTCATTCCTTACGTTCCCAGTGTAACATAGGGCTCCAAGCTTTAAGTTTCAGTAGCAGTGGTGTTTATTTTTACAAGATGGGGTTACTAGCCTTATGCCCAACCTTCCCTCTCTACCAGTCCCATTACTGGCTTAGCGAGGTAAAGGAGCGCGTTGACCAGGGATCGAGCCTCGAACTACAGGCTTGACTGGTGAGCATTCTACCGCTGTGCCATCAGCGCACGCAGTGGAACATATTTTTGGCTTCTTCTGGGATTACTAGCCAGGCTACTTAATAGATGCTACGAATGACCGAGTACATTCTCTGTCTCAAAATCTTACTATTTATGTCCCCGTTCTATGGTAATTGGATGAAGACATCTGTCTTAGGAGCGGAATAGATTGTAGGTTTTAAGACCAATTGACTTCTATACTGGTTTAAAATTTTTAAAGGATATCCTTTTTCAACGAAAGTATCCATGAGTGTTTAACTTTCCTTCTTTATAACGTCAGCCGTACAAATTCGCTAAATCCTCTTAAATAAGCATTTCACCAAGCCTCTCGTATACTGTAGTAGATAGGAGCTGTGAAAATTTACGTATTACCCTGTCCAATTAGGCTTTCTGTAAGTTGATCGTCTTATTGAACCATCATCTCTTCAACTAAGAAGTATGCATAAAAATGAAAGCTGGTGTCAACTTTCTTCCCTGCATGTCAGACTTATATGATTCTGTACGAAGTTAAGTCTATCCTATAGACGAATCGCATCTTCATGATCATCACTTATCAAAATAATATCATCTGTACATCTCCTGTTGAAGGGACAAGTTTTTGACATAAGACACATAAACATCCGCTAACAAAAGTCCTAATGGACCCCTCATACCAACACCATTCACTTGTCGAAAGTGCTCACCTTCAAACATGAAATGGACGTTGTCAGTACATAATAGTAATAAATCCTTCGAGTAAGTTAAAGGAAAAGTGAATAAAAAACAACTAGAAGAAATATCACAAAGAATATCAACGGTCTTAATCAAAGGTACATTAGTAAACAAGGAATTAACATCAAAAGAATACATTTTCCTATCTTTTATGTTCATATCTACAAGACAGTCAACAAGTTGAAATGTCTCTTCCAAAGTAAACTTACATAATTTGTTGTGTACTGGGCTTAAAACGTCAGTTAACCATTTTTACTAGTTTTTACTTAGGAGAATGACACAGTGATAGAATTGGATGTAATGGATTATCAACCTTATGAATCTTGGGTATGTCATAAAGGTTTGGAAAGTCAAATTCAATGAGTTTCAACGAATTAAATTCATGTCTATGGATAAAATCCATGTCACGAAGTTTACCAATTTTCTCATATCATCAGGAGGGACATCGGCTATCAATTTACTTTTGTCATTAAGAATGGATGACACTTTTGTTTTATGATCACATCTGTCACAAGATCCTTTGTCCAGCTTCAGGATAACTAAATCAGATCTGTTACGCATTTCCTTTAGAGTTTTACAATGGGTAGAGGTCAGAGTACTTTCTTGTTTCCGAAGTGAATTACGGAAATGATTTGCTACATCTAAAAATTTATCTTTCAACCAGATCAGATCGGAATGATCTATATACAGGATAGCTGTTTACTTTGTGGTATAAAACTACTCAACTCAATCAATCAGTACTTTATAGTTTCATGCATTTGTGATTATTTACTTGACTATTATTAGTTGCCAAGCAGTAGAAGATGACTCCGTCCAAAAGAAACTATGGTGAAATATCACCTCGAAATGTGTAAAATGCAAATCTGATCTGTGACACTCAACTTATGGATTGAAAATAAGTTTTAAGCATAATAAATGTAGTGATGATAAGGTCAGTAATAACAAAAGTATAATCAGGTTGCAATAGGAATAGTGAGGATAACGGGAAAAAAATTCATTGGTTAAATTCGGTTAAAATCTTACTGAATTCAAAGTTGCGTAATATTGAAAATCAAGTGATGAATAAAAATCTTTGAGAATTTCGTTAACTTCATTAGATTTACCTACGTCAAGGAAAAGCTACAGGTAGAACAAAGTTCCTTTCCATACAACGATTAGGGCAAAATATATAGCCAAAGAGATGGTGTAGCAATGGGATCACCTGTAGTGAACCATTTTACTATTCATCATCGTAGTATACTTTCACTATGTAATTGGACTTCGATTTGTTTTTCACTCTAAATATTGCGTGTTACAATTGATATTTTTGTGCTCGCTCCACTTTTGAATTTTGATTACTGGGTTAATACACGTTCGTACTCCTTCTCAAGTGCCTTTTGATTTACCTTGTGGATGTCGAATAATCACAACGTTAGGACACAATAATAGACGCGAAGAAGCACTAGGATATACGGATATACAGAGCACCATAAAAATTGGTGAGCCCGACAAAGCTGATCAAAGTCATTTCGAAGTACACACATTGGATTTAATCATCATTGCTATCATATTAACTTTGATAACTGCATCACATTTGGATTTTATATATATATATATATGTTATTATTTACACTTTTGTAATGTCATTTGATACTGATAACAACATTTCAAGTACAAGGTCTGTGGCTGAAGTTACCATATCCATACCACATTTTAAACCTAATGATCTATATCTGTGGTTCACTCGCCTAGAACACTAATTCCTAGCTAACCACGTCACTTCTCAAACTACAAAATTTGGCTATGCAAGCTCCATCTTACCGGACGACGTAGCAGAGCAAGTACGAGAAACGCCCATAAGTCCAAATCCAGAAACTCCCTACGATATTTTAAAGCAGAAGGTTATTAAGATTGCTTCAGTATCAGGCCAGAAAGCTATTGATCAGCTGCTCAGCAATTTTAGCCTTGGTGATAGAACACCTTCCCAACTCAAAAGCCATATGTGTAACATTTTAGGAGATCGGAAAATAGACACCAGGTTTTTCTATCAATTGTGGCTAAGGCGGTTACCCCACAACATTCAGCAGGTGTTAGCATTTGGAGACGAAGATATAGATAGTGACATGTTAGCAGAAATTGCTGACAATGTATGAACGGATGTCTCCACAAGTAACATCTGTACTCGACAAATCATCAGACGAACGCATAGAACTACTAGAACATAAAAGACGTTCTGACCGGGCAATTAATGACGATGAGGTTTATTAGACAACCTATTAGACCATACAGAAAACAGTGTAGTCGCTCACGCAATGTACGTAAATATAGCTTACAAGAGACTATACGCTGGTATCATCGAAAATTTGGTGTACGGGTTAAAACATGCACGCAACTATGTGGTTTCCAACAGGCTGTGCCGTCGGGAAACGAAAAGGCCACCGGTCGATGACTTCTGTTTTCGCTGGCCGGCTAAAATAACGGGGGCAAAATTCCTGGTAGATACCGGTACAGAATTAGTGTAGTTCCCCCAACACCCAGAGAACGTTTATAGCCGAATCCTGCATTAGTACTTAAGGCTGAGAACAATTCTACAATAAATACTTTTGGAACTCGAAGAAAAAAACTTAATTTTGGTTGCAGTACACCATTTAAGTGGGAGTTCGTCGTTGCCGATATAAGCTCTTCTATTATTGGGATGTATTTTCTTCAGCACTACGAATTTCTAGTCGACTCTAGTCGCCATAGATTGATAAATAGCAGTCGCAAACTGTCGATTTCAGGCACCGATGTCGAGAGTATCTGCTTGATGGTGGCTACATCAGATCAATTATCCCCGTAGGAGATACTGCTAAAGAAATTTCCTGAAGTCACACAGAGAGATTACTCCACATCCTCTCTCAAACACAACATAACGC